CACACGCTATAATTCACAACGATTCACGCACTTTACTTACGGCTTTATCTGTCTCTTTATCTCTCTGTCTACAATTCAATTATCGCCGTCACTTTATTTGCCGGCTTATATAATAAAATAGAGGGCGCCTAGCAAATACTGCATTGTTCGTGACGTTTCCCGATCCTTCTAGAAATTCATCACGTGTTACCAGCGTCACGTGATTTCCGCTGTCATAACAATGCTCCTTAAATTAAACTAATAGATAATTAACAATAACTTAATTAAACGTACATAATTTACAAAGCTGGGAAAACTTTCTACTGCACACCTTATATTTTAAAGGCAAAAGTTTTAAATATTTATAAGCAATAGGAATGATGTATAAATAAGAAAGAATCTGTACATTCACCTTTATTAGCTTTGTTATACACATGGACAAATACACCACTTTTGTGATTATTATTAAAAACGTATTATAAAAAATATACCAACTAAGTTACAATATAAAATAAATAATATCATAAACTTATTATACACAGTTAATATCATAAATAAGTTTGCAAGAAACACAATAACCTCGTGTATAATGATTAAAGCTCTTTGAATCATCAGTTGGGTAACATAGTTATTAACGATATTTTCGACCATAACAGAAACATGTTGATCAACACTGTTGACTGGCTAATAATTCATTTTCAAATTTTAATGGCCAACGATTTAGCTAAAATGAGTCTTTTTCTTAAAAGTTTATTTATAGATTTTTTATTTCGTATGGTGTTCTTACACCTCCAAATTCTGTTGGAGGCGAGTATCCGGGAGTAGGACTACCGTCCTAGTTCGGACACCGGGAAAGCATATTTCGATGTGACGGGCATTCGAACCCGCGATCCTCAGAATATGAGTCGAGTGCCCTAACCACCTGACCATGCCGGGCCTTTTTTATAGATGGATTATTATACTTGCCATTTTTTTTAGTTAGTTTGATTTTTGAATTTCGCGCAAAGCTACTCAAGGGCTATCTGCGTTAGCCGTACCTAATTTTAAAGTGGTAGGCTAGAAGGAAGACAGCTAGCCAACACTTCTCACAGCCGTCTCTTGGGTTATTTTTTATTACCAACAAACAATTTGATTGACTGTCAATTATAACGCCCCCACGGCTGAAAGGACGAGCATGTTTGGTGACGGGATCCGAACTTGTGAGCTGCAAATTTCGAGCCGAGTGCCCTAACCACCAGGCATGCCAAGTCCATATTTGTGATACTATTTTTTTCTGCACACAATAAGGAACTATAAACATCCACGACAAGCACAGAAGTTTTATTCCACTGTTTGAATTTGTATTAAAACTTTCTGGGCTTTTAAAATGCATATTGTTGCGTCATCGAGGTCACGTGACTGGTGTGGCGCCACCTATTTTCTAGAACTATCCTGTACCTTGGCGAATGCTCTAGTATTTACTAGATATAGGGTAGTCTGGTATATAAAAGAGGGTGACAACGTGACGGGATAATAATGTGTGTGGAGGTAATGAGTAATTGAACTGCAGTCTGAGAGAGACGTATTGTTGAAGTTAACGTTCGTTGATATAGCGTTTGTTTTAGCGCGATTGTTGAAAACAAGTGTATCGTAAAGTTATATTCGGAAAGAATAAACCAGTTTTATTAAGTAAAGACTTGTATCGTTAAAGTTTCGTCGGAACGAAGTTACGGAAAGTTAATTAATAAAGGAGACGTAACAAATTGGTGTCAGAAGTGGGATAAAAAAAAAGAAAAAAGAAAAAAAAAAAGAAGAAGATAGAACGAAGAAGA